TCTCTCCTTGTTTTAATTTGGAGGTATTTTCAACACCTCCAAATTAAAGACAATGCCTAAATGTGGCAATATGAAGTTTAAAAGGCACACCCTAATTTAGCAGCAACATCTTTAAGACTGCAAGCCAATTGAATACGCAGCTGCAAAGAAATAGCACAGCTACAAAAAATGTGAAGCACAGTTTGCCTTCAACCAGCTTAACCAGAAAGGGAAGTATTTCAAAACAAGAAAGCAACGTGGATTAATCTTATTGCTTTGAGAATACAGAGGCATTTGAAATTACTGATCACCCAGGAATTCTTTCCCTTTGTTACATGTGTTAGCTCTCTTGCTTTAACTTGGTAAATTAAAGCACAGACAAATATATAATCCATCTGCAACCTGGCAGCTGGAGCCATTTTTTTCACATCATTTACTAAAATCCTTTCTGAGTATAAATGACTTTTAATTGACCAAAATATGCTAGACTTAGGCTGTGCCCCTGAAAAACTGTGTTCGCAGCTTGGGAGTACTCTTGGATCCATCTCTCCAAATATCAACCCAGGTAGAGGCAACAGTTAGGAGTGCTTACTATCAGCTTTGGCTGACCTGCCAGCTGTGCCCCTTCCGAGATTTGGAGGACATGAAGATGGTAGCACACACACTAGTCACCTCAAGGTTAGACTCCTGAAATGCACTTTACACTGGACTTATACCAAATTCGGAATTTCCCAGCTAGTTCAAAATACGGCAGCCAGATTGGTTACAGGAACATCTAGGAGTGAGCATATCATACCTATCTTAATGTCTCTTCACTGGTTGTCAATTGGTTTTTGGGCAAAGTACAAGGTGATGGTTTTGACCTTTAAAGTCCTACATGGTTTGGGTCCAGGTTACTTAGAGGATCACCTTCACACACTTCGACCTTCTGGGGGAGTGTCTGCTCCAACCAGCCTGAACCCGACTGGCAACCACCACCCAGAGGACCTTTTCATCAGCCACCCCAAGACTGTGGAATGACCTCCTATTAGAGTTGCCACAGCTAAATCAGTTGTCGGAATTTAAGACACAAGTGGAGACCTGTCTCTTCCAGCAGGCCTACCCTGAGTTTTTAAATAAACCTTAAACTTGAATTTTAATGCATGTCCTTTGTTTAATCTGTTTTGTCTGTTTTAATATGTATTTCATAGAGATGCGTTTTGATATGAAACTTTTATAGAGGTACGTTTTAGTGCTTATATTTGTAGTGTTTTTGCTGTTTATGTATTTTAATTGTTCTGTAACCCGCCTCGGGCCATGAAGTTGCAATCTTATGTACACTCAGCTGGAAATAAATCAAACTAAACAATACAGCCTTTTCAGGTGTAAGTAAACATGTCTTAGGTCACAGTAGAGTGCTTACTCAAGTGTTGTTGGTGCTCTGCAGCGGTGGCCACAAAAGGATTTTTCTGTTGTTACAGGTAGGTCAAGAAAGGATATTTGATTTTCAGTCTGTTGTATTCTTCTCAAATTGCTTCACGGGAGATTCAGTTCATAATAACTATAATCACTCCAAGCAGTGGAGGCTGTCACGCTGGAGAAAATGAATCAGCTGATCCTACTATGGTTGTGCATTTTTTAAAATGTTTCTCCAATGTGACATGTTTCTTTGAGTAGTATAGAAGGCAGAGCACAATTCTTATGATCAACAGAATCAAACAATGAGCAATGAGTGGGAGAAAAATATTGCATGCTGAAAACTAAGGAACAAAGACATTCACTCATCTTTCTTTCAGGTTCAGATAGATTTTGTGGTATTCCTACTCTGAAATCAACTGAATTTTATCCAAGAAATAGGACTATTATTACTAAAACCCTACCTTATGAAAGAATGGCAAACATTGCTTTTTAAAGGAAATATTTCTGAAGTTGCAATTCTGTGACTACTTGCCAGAAAATAAGCTTTGATGAACTTCTGAATAGACATTTAGTAGATGTGCACAACTGTGTGTGTAGCATGTCTCATATAATTCTGATTTTTTTTTTTTTTTGCAATTCCCCATCTCATAAATGCAGACATCACTAACAGGTTTAATAGAAAAGCAAAATGACGAGACATTTCAAGGAGGTTTACAACCCTGTGCTTTGAGCATGCAAGCAGTGCATGGTTGTGCAGGGACAGCCATTTGAACACTTTACATAAAACGGTATTTTAAGATGGAATTTGTAACTCTGATTAATACAATACTATAACATTTATTTACTCTATAAATTTATTTATTTAAGTCTTCAAATAATAACTAGTGCTATTATTAGCTGCATCCATCTATCCCAGTGGTTCTTAACCTGTGGACCGCGGACCACCAGTGGGCCGCAAGGACAAAAATCTGGTCCGCAAGCCTGCTTCATCTTTATTTTTTTAATTTCTGCTCCTTTTGCGCTGCCTGCCACTGACCATGGCATATGTTCTGTATCAGAAACTAGTGCTGATGTGGTCTATCCAATGCAATTTTCTGAATCAGCATCCCAAACTGAATCTAAAGTTGACCAAAAACTGATTCGTGACCCTTTTGGTACTAATGTTGGAGAGTGATCCCTGGTCAAGTAGTCCCTATAAGAAGCACTACTTGAATATCAAGCAAAAAGTGGAGCAAGAAACAGTATCATATGAAAGCCAACTGGCACAACTTGGGAATCACAACCAGATATAGTGAAGACATCTGCCCTTGCACTTTGCTACTCTGCTGTTGAATATGCATGACCAGTGTGGAACACATCTCACCATGCTAAAACAGTGGATGTGGTTCTTAATGAGACATGCCGCATTATCACAGGATTTCTGCACCTTACACCACTGGAGAAATGACACTGGTTAGCTGGTATTGCACCACTTGACATCCGCCGGGAAGTAGCAGCCAATAATGAAAGGACCAAGGTATTGACATTTCTGGTCCACCCCCTGTTCAGATATCAGCCAGTACGCCAACACCTTAAATCAAGCAATAGTTTTCTAAGATCTACATATATATTTGCAGAAACAACTCAGAAAGGTGAGTCCAAAAGTGGTAGGCTAAAACCTGGAACCTCAACCCATGGCTGATACCAAGTGAGAAACTTCCTCCTGGGCACACAGAAGACTGGGTGAACAGACTGGACTCTGGCACCACAAGTGCAGAGCCAATCATAAAAAATGGTGCCACAAAGTGGAGTCCATGGCATGTGAGTGTGGAGAAGAGCAAACCACAGACCACTTATTACAATGCAGCCTGAGCCCTGCCACATGCACAATGGAGGAGCTTCTTATAGCAACACCAGAGGCACTCCAAGTGGCCAGCTACTGGTCAAAGAACATTTAATATAATGCCAAGTTTTCAAACTTGGTGTTTTTTAAATACATTACAACTGTACCCTTGGTTCGCTCCTGATATGATAAATAAATAAGTAGTCCCTGGTCAAAAAAAAGGTTGGTTATCACTGATCTACCCATTCGCATTTCTTTGACTGTAAGACGCTATCGATTGCAAGATGTGTACAGTCCAACTACCAGTAAAAATGCATAAGATACACCTGCAGGTCTAAGACAAATCCCAGTTTTAGAGATGTTTATGTAGGAAATAAAGTGCATCTAAGAATTGAAGAAATATAGTATAGAGAAGTCCAAGGTCCAAGTATGTATGTTTATTTGATCCACAAAGGCTCCTACAAGGTGTCATGGATCAGGACCAAACTTGGTACACATACCATTAATGATCTAACTTAAAATACTGCCGTGGATTTGGAGGGGGGGGGGGGGAGATGATTGAGAATGATGGGAGTTCATCCACATCTAGAGCCATGTATATCTCATCGATGATAGATCTGGATGAAAGGTGATACACATACCATTCATGATCCAACTTCAAATACTGTCAGGGTTTGGGAGGGAGGAGTAGTAGAGGACAATGGGAGTTGCAGTCCACCAACATCCAGTTCCAATCAAGTCAGATCTGGGCCTGATAGGATTGCCATCTGGCTAGATCTGGGGATAATAGGGAACTGCAATCTCACCAGACCTTGGTCTAATAGAAATTCCAACCCATCACCTATACGCGTTTATAAAAGGTCCAATTGTACAAGACATATGTTTTCAAATGGGACCGCTTATAAAGTCGTAAAATTAGCAATAAGTATTCGAAATTGCATACTTGGGCAATGTGAGCCACATAAACTAGTGTGCATATGTGTGAATGTATTTGCATATATAGGTGCGTATAAAAATAGACACACTGTCTCTATTTCTACGTGCACACAATCACCTAACTCGGGGCCCTTCCACACAGCCCTATAACCCAGAACTTCAAGGCAGAACATCCCACAATATCTGCTTCGAAGTGGGATATCTGAGTCCACACTGCCATATATCCCAGTTCAAAGCAGACAATCTGGGAAGGGCCCTCAGGAAGCCCCACAACACTAACTCGCTCATGTCCTTAATGTTCGCGTCTTCCTTAGGTTTCCCAGACCAACAGTAACGCCTCGCCGTCCTCCTCCTCCTCTTCTCACCCCTCCTCCGTCGCGCCCTGGAAGCGCTTCCTCCTTGACTTGCGTTTCCGGGGCACCCCACATCCCACGGTCCAGTCAGAATCAAACACGAACCACGTCGGCCTGTTAGGCTCAACCACGCATGCGCGGAACTAGGCGGAGCCTCCTTCGCGAATGCCACGTTCCAAAGCAGAGAGGGGGGCGGGGCGAGGAAAAGCGATCGTCAAGCAAAGCCAATCAGTAGCAGCTAAACAGAGTTCTGAAGGCAGCCTTTCTAACCAACCGTAAGGCACCAAAGAGGCCGGGGTAGCCAATCAAAGGCGACGGAACAGAGGAAACTTTCCGGCTAGTTCGGAAGTGGAAGGAAAGGTGACGCGACCTTTCGCGCGGGCCAATCAGAGCGCGCAGAGGGCCCCAGGCGCTGCTCGGGCTCAATGGGCGCCGAGAGTGGGAGGGCGGGAGCAGCCAATCGGCGGCGGCGGCCGCGACGGGGGAAAGGGCGGGTTTATAAGCGGGGAGGCGGGGGAGAGGGCTCTCTTTCGCGGTGCCTTCGCCTGGCTCGGTCTCCGTGCTCTCCCTCGCCGCCGCCGCTGCCGCCGCCGCCATGAAGACCGCTCCGCTCCTGGGCCTCCTCTTGCTGGGCCTGGCCTGCTCCGCCGCCGAGTTCGAGGAGGACGAGGGCGTCCTGGTCCTGAAGACGGCCAACTTCGAGCAGGCGCTGCAGCAGTTCCCCAACATCCTGGTGGAGTTCTGTGAGTCGGGGCGGGGGAGGAGGGCCGGGGCCGGGCCGGGAAGGGAGTGCACTCTGGCGCAAAACTACGGCGTCCTGGGAGTTGTAGTTTTCACAAGGCCCTCTCCGCAGAAGAGGGTTGAGGCCTTGCCATACGAAGGATCCCATAGCATTCCGCCTTGGCAGTCAAAACCGCCCTAATCCTCCAGTGCAGGTGCACCCAAGAATGCCTTCCTGCCTTTAGCGGGCCTTTGAGGCGAGAGGAAACCGGTTCCTCCTCGGACTGTGTGCCTGCAGGGCTGTAAGATGCCCCGTTCGAGGGGTGTGTCGCCTGGGTGATTGCTACTTGCGTTTCTTCTCCGCCTGAAAAGGCCTCCTTTTGTTCTCACAGCAGCCTGGGAAGGAGTGACTGGGCCCAGGGATTGAGGTCTGCATCTCCCACTCCTTTCCTGAAGGAATTCTGAAGGCCTCTCAGGCCCAGGATCACTCTGTTGCTGAAGGCCATCTTGGTGCAGTTCGCTAAGGATCCTGACAGCAGAGAGAGTTGTACACAGATGTTCAGAGGGCAAAGGAGGTTTTCAGGCACCTGCTACTTGAAAACATAGGATTTGTTCTTTTTCACCAGTTGCATCTGCAGTACCAAATTAATGCAGTTTGGTACCACTTTAATAATAATAATAATAATAGTCAAAGGCTTTCATGGCCGGAATCACTGGGTTGTTGTCGTTATTTTGGGCTGTATGGCCATGTTCTAGAAGCATTCTCTCGTGACATTTTGCCTGTTTCTATGACGGGTATCCTCAGAAGTTGTGACCATCAATGCAGGCAAAATCTCAGGAGACAATGCTTCTAGAACATGGCCATACAGCCTGAAAAACCTACAACAACAACAACAACACTTTATTTATATTTCGCACTATTTCCCCAAGAGGACTCAGAGTGGATTACAACATACACAGATAGGCAAACATTCAGTGCTTTTACTACAACGAATTAACAATGACACAAATACACAGAACAAAGGTAAAGGGTTCCCCTTTCATCTCCAGCTTTCTGGAGGCGGTGCTCTACTCTGTCCATAGGGAGGTGTCCTTGTTCCATTTCCAAGCTGAGGAGCCTGTTGTCCGTAGACACCTCCTGGTCATGTTGCCAGCATAGTGCTATGGAATCATGGGAGTTTTCGGTTGGTGAGGCACTAGTAAAGGCCTTGCAAAACTAAAACCCATCTGATTCCATAACATTGCACTTTGGCAGTAATAGTTGTGTCAAACCGTTAATTTTATGGTGTAGATGCACCTCAAGTTCCAGAATTCACGAAAATGTTTTGAGTTTCTGAATATTTGACTTAAAAAATTCTGAGACATGTTAATTATATAGCCAGAACAAGTTGAGTGGTTGTACCTAAAGGTATGTAACTATGATATTTTTCTACAGTTATCTCATTTTTTGAATGAGAATAGAGACAGGCTTTCTTTTTTTTCTTGTCTGTTCTGAACTCCCACAATATTTATTACCAGTAAGCAAGCACTTTTCCCTTGATAATGTAAAGTCACGAAGTAGCTTAGGTTATCTAATCTCTTGTTGACTTAGATCAGTGGTTCTCAACCTGTGGGTCCCCAGATGTTTTGGCCTTCAACTCCCACTAATAGCTGGCTGGGATTCTTGGGAGTTGTAGGCCTAAACACAGGGGACCCACAGGTTGAGAACTACTGATTTAGATCCTCATGGGTAAACTTCAGCCCTTCAGGTATTTTGGACTTCAATTCCTAACAGCCAGTAAGTTAGCTGGGGGTGTTTTGGGAGTCGATGTCCAAAATAGCTGTAGGGCCCAAGTTTGCCCATCCTTGCTCTGGAATAACTGGTATGCAGTGCTGTTACTCTTACCTGCCCTTTGTTACATCTATCTTCCACACAGGCAAAATAGCTTTCTGCATTGTACAATGCTACAAATGAGTTTTAAAAAGCTTTGCATACTGCTTAGGATGCTGCAGAGCAATCTTCATGGAATGGTTTTTATATTGTACCTGGTTTCCTGTGGTTGGAAGTTGCAAAGATAACACTGGGGACTGCATGCAGTGGCTTTGATGCTGAGTATTTCTGGTCTTTTCCCCCCACAGATGCACCATGGTGTGGCCACTGTAAAGCTCTGGCACCGGAGTATGCGAAGGCAGCAGCTAAACTGAAATCTGAGAACTCTGAAATCAGGCTGGCTAAGGTGGACGCCACAGAAGAGTCAGAACTTGCCCAGCAGTTTGGTGTGCGAGGATATCCCACTATTAAATTTTTTAAGAATGGAGATAAATCTTCCCCCAAAGAGTACACAGGTAATAGACTTCTTTGAAGAGCTGCTTTCAAAGTGTAGAGCAAAAGATCCAAGTATTTATTTTTAGAACACATTGGTAGTTCATACTGGTGATATGCAAGACAACATTGTGTGCGATTGCTAAAATCCCATGCTTCTCTTTATACTTGCTGAGATCTTTTTTGTTGCTGCCACAAATCCATTATCTCATATTCTTTCCATGGTAAATTGTAAGCTCTTTATCCTTCCATGTCCAGTAGTAATTTGTCTTACCACATTTCACTTCCTTCACTCTCTTCTGTGTCTTATGTTCCTGCTTCATCTTTGAAGTGTAATTCAACTTTCTCGTTGAGCAATCAAACCAATTGACTCCTCCTTTGCAGTGCACAAAGAAGCCTGTATTTTCTCTATGGCCAGAGCATAGCAAAAAGAATGTCCAGGCCCTTTCTGTGAAACTTATGATCCATAGCAATCCAATTTACATGACATTCTGTTTGTAAATATGATCAGTTTTATGTAACTGTTCTTAGCATTGTACATTCAGGTACATTAAAAACCACTAGCTCATCATTAAATAATAAACATTATCACTTTATCCTCCCACATGGTAATCTGTTAGCAAATGGGTTCGCATCATTTACCATGGGGTAGACTTGCATCTTGACTTCAGAAACAGTTACATGTACTGAATTTCTGAATCTTACAGCTACAGAACAGTTGTACAAAACTTACTAATTATGCTGGTTTTCACTGGAAAACTAGAATTTGCCACTAGTTAATTAGTCCTTCTGAACCCTCTTGTAATTTAAATCGGTTATGGTATGCAAGCAGATATTTTAATGTAATTTATATTAATTTTACTGCTAAAAGAACAATTAATAGGAAACTATTTCCAAGAAAAAAATTTGTCTTTTTGGAAAAAAAATAAAGGTTTTCACGTACATGTTCTTCAGTTCCTGTTTTATACAGTTTTGTGTACGGTGTCTAAAGCTACCTAGAGTCGGAAATTGGACACTAATCATTTTTCTCTAGTTTAGAAGTAAGAAAAAAGTAAATGATAGCTCTTGACTATGTATTGTTTTTGGCAGTGTCACATAGTCTTGGAAACAGGATTTTCCTTGCAAACAGTCCCAGGTTTACAAACAAGATAGATTTTGTAGGTTTCTTCAGGAACTTGTTACAGGCAGTCCTCGAGTTACAAATACCTGATTTATATATGACTCCTAGTTACAAAAGGGAATGAGACAACAGGAAGATCTACCCCTAGGAAGAGAAATGCATTTCTGCACAAGTTGTCATTGGAAAAGGTGTGTCTAGTTCTAGTTTCCATGACAGCCTAAATTTTAAAAGTCCAGTTGTCACAGGAACAGAATATTGTGCAAAGAATTTGTCTAGAAAAGTGAAACTAAGTTAATGCATATAGGTCCTAAAATGCTATTTAAATTTGGAAGTGTAAATGTTTTGATCTTATGTTTGTCCTCTTCCCTGTCCCCATATTCAAATAATGTTGCTTCTCTCTGAAAAAAAAAACTATCATGAGTCTTCTATCTCCATGAAAAAAAACAGATCCATACATTGTTTGTTTTAGCTATTTCCTCTTTGATCATAGGTGCTTTAAAACGGCTAGTATTCTTATTTGTAATTGGTTTAAATATTTTTTGCCTGGAAACTTTCTTCTGGAGTCCTTCTGTGGGGCTGCCACCTGTTTATTTAGGGTCTATCTCTTGAAACCCACCTTGGAGCATCTGCCAATAGCCACAGGATAGGCAAACTGGTGCCCAGTTGATGTTTGGAGCTGCTATCACTCACAATCTGAAATCATTTGTCATGTTAGTTCAGGTTATATGTCCCTGCAGGTCCTTGTCTCGGTTCCCTCTTCTAACAGAGCCATCTCAGTGGCTGCTCTAGACTTCCCTGGGGAACCGATTCCCACAAGATAGTTTTGGTTGGTTCCCCTCAGTGTTATACCCCTCTACCTTCAGGCACAGATCTGTTAAGGAGGCCATTGGCTTGTAACTGACTGGAGAAGGAATGCATTTTAATTTTATCTTTTTATTGTACTTTATTTGGTTTCAAATGTTTTGAAGTTGGGCTTTTAATATCATTTGCTAGATTTAAAACCTTTTTAATTAAGATTTCAGTTGTACTTTTGTTTTAAATTTATTTTAAAACATTTTGGGTATCTTGTTGATAGAAACACTAAATATAAATTAAATAATAAAACTCACCATATGTGCTTACAAACATGCAATATAATGTAGCGCCTTTTAGTAACTTCAAGAAGGACCTATATGCATCATAGAATTGTGGAGCTTGAAGAAATACCAAGTGGCCTTTGGTCTAACCCTTGCCATTGCAGGAATCCATAGTTAAAGCATGGTGCCAAGTGGTGAGCCAGGCCCTATTTGAAAAATTCTAGTGAAGGAGAGTCCATTAACTTCTGAAGTATAGTGTAAGTGAAAAACTGAGCTGCTGGGAGTAAGAAATACCTCCCCCCTTCTAACAACTTTCCTTCACTTGTAGGAAAGAGTGCTTTTCTGTGCAAGGGGAAGAAAATCATGTGTAATTGTCCTTTGATCTGCAAATAGATTCTCTTTATTAAATAGTTGGCATAGTGATAACTTAGGTTGAGGATTTTCTCCGTTTCTGCTGACTTAGGTTTCTAGTTGAAACACAGGCTTCATTTTAAAAAGGTTAAAAATCATATTTGTGGCACGTCAGTCGAAGTGTGAAGTTTGAGAAGACTTGTTGCCTTTATTTCAATGAAATGTTTGTCCAGACAGATACCAAATATCACTCATAGTGTGGCCAAAGTCTAACTGTAGTTAAGCCAGTTTCTTTACGCTTCAGCAGCATGTTATAAAGAGTGAGTTAGGTGGATTGTGTTAATAGTCTATAACTCTGTAGCGCTCCTTGTGGCTCAACAGCACCTTCTGGTGGCGTCTTGCTCTTAAAGAAAATTGTAGGCATGTGCTTGTATGATAAATCATACTAAAAGGGATAGATAATGAGACTTTCCCCTTGCACAATCAGGATGATTGATCATATTTCTATCAGAGAATATTATAATATGATTTTTAATTTGCTAATGAAGCTGGCAGGGAAGCAGATGACATTCTGAACTGGATAAAGAAGCGCACAGGGCCAGCAGCTACTACAGTGAAGGACGTTGCTGGAGCTGAAGAACTCATAGAAGCCAATGAAGTTGCTGTGATTGGGTTCTTTAAGGTAATTTTTTTCTTTCAAGGGGATGGGATAATTTTGTTTTTATCAGGCCACCTTCTTTGGGAAGGCATTGTTTTGTGATTTAGAATCATAGAGTTGGAAGAGACCTCATGGGCCATCCAGTCCAGCCCCCTGCCAAGAAGCAGGAAAAAAGCATTCATCACATCACTAGCATTTGTGTGCTCGTGATGTGTGAGAGTGAGATCATCAGTCTGCAGGGCTATTCCCCTTTTTCTTCCTATTACACCCCCCCCCCCCATGCCCCTCAATTGTGGACAGGGGAGTAAATTCACTCCCTTGTTGCCTAAACTCATTTATGCAGAGGCTGAAAGCACATGAAATTAATCTGTGGGCCTTCCCATTAYTTTAGCTGATAGTTTTTATTTTCTGTTTCTAAATGCAGTAGTCGTATAAAGCTTAAATAGCAGCTAAACTCTGCTATCTATTTTCTTACTCTGTTTTGGCTCTTTGTACAGTTTTGGGCATGATGTGGAGTTTTAAAAAGACCATTTTACTTCTCTATCAGGATGCAGAGTCTAATGCTGCCAAACAATTCTTGTTGGCAGCAGAGTCCATCGATGACATTCCTTTTGGGATTTCCTCCAGCAGCGATGTCTTTGCCAAATACCAGCTCAGCAAAGATGGAGTTGCTCTTTTTAAGAAGGTGAGTGTCTGAAAAAAATTGCCAATCTGTGTTGAGTCCATCTGGCAGCCGTTCGCATAGTAGATGGCACTGCTTCTTCCGGTGTTTTCCAGCCCACTTCTTTCCTTCTCTTTATATGTGTGCAGTAGGAAACTAGCAGCTGCTTCAATTATTTTGCCTTAGCAGACATCAACACTTCATTCTTTTCCCCCTAAGAAGCTTCCCACTCAGTTGTAAGACCAGGGCTGGGCAAAGTTTGCTGTTCCTGGATTTGCAGCTCCAAGTGTTCCCAAGCTAGTTAGACACAATAGGAGTTGCAGTCCTAAAATATCTGTAGGGCTACAATTACCCCCGCTGTTGATCCTCTTGTTCCCTTCAACAGTGGTGCTTCTAGTACAGTGTTTCTCAACCTGGGGGTCGCCAAAGACCATCCGACAACACAGTATTTTCTGTTGGTCGTGGGGGTTCTTTGTGGACAGTTTGCCCAATTCTATGGTTGGTGAACTACAACTCCAAAACTCCAAAAGTCAATGCCTACCAAACCCTTCCAGTATTTTCTGTTGGTCATGGGAGTTCTGTGTGTCAAGTTTGGTTCAATTCCATCGTTGGTGGAGTTCAGAATGCTCTTTGATTGTAGGTGAACTATAAATCCCAGCAACAACAACTCCCAAATGACAAAATGAATCCCCCTCCAACCCCAACAGTTTTCAAATTTGGGCGTATCAGGTATTTGTGCCAAATTTGGTCTATTGAATGAAAATACATCCCGCATATCAGATATTTATATTGCGATTCATAACAGTAGCAACATTGCAGTTAAGAAAGTAGCAATGAAAATAATTTTATGATTGGGGGTCACCACAACATGAGGAACTGTGTTAAGGGCTCACGGCATTAGGAAGACTGAGAAACACTGTTATAAGAAGATTTAACTATAGAGGGTGGGACTGGATTTACCTTGCGGCTTTTTATAAAGAGGCATTGCAGCTGATTAAGAGTAGCTTTATGAGCTGCAATCACTCTTGCGTTAATTCTAGTGAATTGTGACCTGTTTTATGCCCGCTTCGCTGAGTTAGTAGTGGAAACGTGTTCTGGAAGGATTTTGAAAGCGGAACGGGAAGATACATTTTGAAGAGCCTAGTCAGCATTGTTGACTGGCCCGTTCAGAGTTCAGAACTTAAGGAGGTGTTGCAGTATGAAACTAAAAAATGAAGGGTTTGGCTGCTGAGTATCCCTGTTAGAAGAGAAGTCTCAAAAGTAGGACATCACTTTCAACTTCCCAGAATTTTAAGATAGTGTGCCTAGAGCAATCTGCAAATAATTGGTTCAAAAATTATGTGTAGAATCATTTTTAGGGAAGTTAACACAGTGGGTTTATTTAATGGGGGAAAATACCTGTATGTGGATAAAAATTACAAGATAACATCCTCCTTTCTTTAGTTGATAAGGGAGAGAAGCTTGGCCTATATTGCAGCAGATATACCTTAGACCAGGGAGGGGCAACTGCAATCATGGCATGGGCCATTTCTCCTTCCTGTGCCTGCTTGTCACAGTAGTGATTTCAGTGCGCCTGAAGTGATGTGATATCATTTCTAGCTGCAATTTTTGTTTGTTTTGGGGGAGGAGTTAGGGTTCAGGGAAGCAAACTCTTGTACTTTTAGGTTTGTTTGGGGTGTTTCACCCCCACACCAGTCCAAATGTTTTTTTTTAATGGGGGAGGCTTTTTTTATTAGTCTAGAGTAGTGTTTTCAATCCAGTCCATTGATTTGTAACCAGTGGGGGGAATGGCAGTTTCATCTCAGGTTTACAGGTAAGACCAGAAAAATATCTTTGTTAATTTCTCTTACCTTATTAATTTGCATGACCAAAGTTTGTGTGTGTAAAAGAGAGTGCCTTATGAACTTGGATTCTGGAACTATTTTTTTTCCTCCACAAATAACAGACTGATTCTTACAGCTGTGAGGAAGAACTATGTTTGGTAGTTCTCTTGTCCCTAATTAGAGTACCTTCTTCTGTTTATGTATTATTGTTGTGGTTACAACCTCTTATGAGTGTATATACCTGCACAAGCATGTGTGAAGTTTTGGTTGCTGAGTAGACTCTTTTCCCAGTTGCCTTTGTTCATTTAATGGCAGACACATTCTCTGAATGGAAATGGAATCTCAAACTTCTTAAGATTTGTGTCTTCCTCATGCTTCAATCAGGCCTTTTATTTCAAGATATCCAGTGAAATGTTTGGCACTTCATAAATTGCTTAGATTCTGTTCAGGGGTCATTATTTATTTACTTTATTTCTATCCTGCTCTTCTCACCCTTGCAGGGGACCCAGAGTTGTGTACAAAATGGAAAAATTTAATGCCACATATTCCACAACATAAAATAAAAAGCATCAAAGTAATAGACAATTAAATCATATAGATAGCATAAAACTGTTAAAACATGATATCCAGTTCTGAGTCGTCATTTTTGTGCTACATTATGCTGATTCCGTATTGCACTACCTGCTTCCAGAGCCAGGTTTTCACTTGTTTCCTGAAAGCCAGGAGAGAGGGGGCTAGTCTGATATCTCTAGGGAGGGAGTTCCATAACCGAGGAGCCATCACTGAGAAGGCCCTGTCTCTCGTCCCCACCAGTCGCGCTAGCGATGGGTAGGGCCTCCCCCGTGGATCTTAAATCTAACAGGTTCATAGGGAGAGATACGTTCAGATAGATAATTTGGACTGGAGCCATTTGGAGCTTTATAGGTCAAAGCCAGAACTTTGAATTGTGTTTGGTAGCAAACTGGTAGCCAGTGGAGCTGACATAACAGGGATTGTATGCTCCCTGTACGTCGCTCCATTGGGCACCCTGGCTGCCGCTTGTTGAACTACTTGGAGCTTCCAAACTGTCTTCAAATGCAGCTCTCCGTTGAACACATTGCAGTAGTCTATTCGAGATGTAACAAGAGTGTGGACTACCGTGGCCAAATCTGGCTTCCTAAGGTACGGTCGCAGCTTGCGCACAAGTTTTAATTGTGTGAAAGCTCCTCTGGTCACTGCCGAAACCTGGGATTCCAGGCTCAGCGACAAGTCCAGGAGAACTCCCAAACTGCAAACCTTTGTCTTCAGGGGGAGTTAGAGGATTAGAGAGGAAGTATTATTATCTTTATACCCTGCCTTTCTCCCTCAAGGTAGGTAACACTGTACACTAGACTTTCCACATAGCCTTTATGATTAGCCAATTCTTTAGAGCTATGCACAGCCCTCTTAAGAATGCTTTGAGATACACTGTCCTTTGCATCAGTCTCTGTTGGGCAAGTCTGGATTCTACCAAAGACCAGGTAAACGAGTTTCCTCTTGTCTTGAGTCAGGCAAAAAGTCTCATGTTTTAACTGTTTTATAGTTGGATGGGTTATGTTTTTATATGTTTTCATATGTGGCATTGAATTTTGCTGGTGTCTGTAAGCCACCTTGAGTCCCCTCCGGGGTGAGAAAGGCAGGGTATAAATGAAGTAAATAACTTAATAAATTATAAATACAGTTCCACAGCTTTCCTCACCATAAACACCTAAACATTGATGTCAAATCTAGCTGAGTCTTTGAGTAATCAGGCATGATCAGTGTTTTTAGAGGTCGTATTCCCTTCTGTCTAGAACATCTTGGGCTCTTGTATGAGGCTAAGTTTAAAAGCCTCCAAAATCAATTAAATGCTGGCCATCAGAAAGAAGCTTAAGAGATGCCCCTACTGTTTTATATTCAGTTTAATGGTTTCAAAGAAATGCCATGGCAGCTCATTAATAATACCAGAACTGTTCCAAAAGAAGATACAATGTGCAGAAATAAATTGTGATCTAAGCATAGTCAAAAATAAATCTGTTTCCACAATCAGATACCTGTCGTGGGTCTGCTGAGGGCAGATGTCATCTTGGTAGCTGCAGGCAATATATCTGAGTGGGACCCCATTCTCCTCGTTCAGGCTATCCATTCTTTTAATTTGTGGATGAGTTATTTATTAAAGAGAGATACCTTCACTCCAAAACAAAATGACCTCCAGCTGCTAAGTACAAATGATTATTATAGACCACAATAATTCTTTGGGTGCTTCTATGTAGCCCATGTAAACAAACATAGATGTAATAGAAGTCAAATTCTCAGGTATCCTAGAGGAAACATCTGTTCCTGATTAGCCTGCCTAGGATTTAGAGGAGCTTGACTGTTTTTTTAAAAGATTAATATGTTTTATTTTAATTTACATATTACATATTCATAAAAAAACAGTGAAACAAATCTATATACATGTATAAATGCATGAACCTATAAAATACTTCCTAGGTAAAGGTAAAGGTTTTCTCCTGACATTAAGTCCAGTCGTGTCCGACTCGGGGTTGGTGCTCATCCCCATTTCTAAGCTGAAGAGCCGGCGTTGTCTGTAGACACCTCCAAGGTCATGTGGCCAGCATGATTACATGGAGCACCGTAACATTTATGTAATATTCATGTTTGGTTATGCTCTCCCCTTCTCCCACCCCTCCCAATTTAGTGACTTCCCATCCCTTGGGTTGGAGACATTCATATATATTTCCGGTCTTCCTTCCTATTACATTGTTTTCCTGTCCTTCCTTCTGGCCTGATATTTGTTATCTCTAAATTCCCTACACAGATTAGAACAGGGTAAATTATGATGCCTTCTATAAAAACTTGTCCTTGTTTCTTTTGCATATAGTTTAGAAATGATTCCCAGTCCTTGATAAAGTTGTTTTGTGTGTTTTTTCTTTGTTCATCATTGCTAATTTGTCAATTTCTGCTATTTTTAAGACTTTAACCATTCATTCTTCTCTTGTTGGGAGGTCTACCTTCTTCCAGAACTGTGTGTGTACTGTTCTTGCTGCTATAATCATGTAGTGCAATACTTTATAATTTAGTGATTTTGTCTGGTTATTTGACATTCCCAATAAAAAATAATTCAGGCTCCAATTGTATCTTTGAATGAAAAAGATTTTTGGTACCTTGCCCCAGAATTCTCCTGCTTTTTTACAAGACCACCACATGCGGAAGAGAGTTTGTTATATTTCCAGCATTTGTTGTTTTTTACCTTATATATTTTAACTAGTTTTGCTGGGGTCAGGTATCACTTGTTTATCATTTTATAAAGTTTTTCTCTTAGGATCGTAGCATTGAATAGTTCACATTTTCCCCATTTATCTAGTTCTACATTTTGCCCGACATTTTGTTCCGATTTAATCATACAAACCTTCATCAGTTTTGTTTCCATTTCAATCTTCAGTAATACTTTATATATTGTCCAATAATGTGTTCTTCATTAATACACAGTTCCTTTTTGAATTCTGATTGGTCTCTTTCAAATCCCATATTTTTATTATCTAGTATAAATCTTTCCTCCCATTGCCTATATCTGTACTACTGTAAGTGAAGTCCTGCATGCTTCAGTTCTTCTAGAGTTTTAAATCTGTATTTTTCATGTATTATTAAATCTCTGTATGTAATCCAGTGTTCTCCTTTCTTATCTAACTTGGAAGAACTATCTTCCATTGAAACTGATTTTGGACATAGTTTAATTTTGTACTTGTTCCAAATCCTTAGTATGACTCATCTTATAAAATGGTGATTAAAGCCTGCATGTACTTTTGCTTTTTGATACCATACATAGGCATGCCATCCAAAATATAGATCATGATCTTCCAATTTTAACAGTTTCTCATTTGTTAAGGTTAGCCAAACTTTCAGCCAAACTCGTAAGCATGCTTTGAAGTACAATTTCAGGTCTGGTAACTCCAATCCTCCCCTTTGCTTTTCATCCTGCAGAATCTTGTTTTAATTCTAGACCTCTCGCCTTAAGAAGCTCGGCTATTTTTTAAACTATGGATTTTGGAGCTCTTCAGGAGTCAACATGGTTTTTTTCCTCAAACAGGGTTGGGTAGACTATAGCCCAGAGATTACATGCCACACTCTGCACAAGAACCCTCTACAGTCAGCACTCTTATACCTGTCCATGCCAAATGGCAAACCAGAAGCTTCTTGAGGTTGTGATTTTACCACTTAAATGCAATATCCCCTTGCCCAGGACTGTTTAGGAACAGGAAGCTGCCAGACACAATTTGTCATTGGGAGGATAAGAATAATTTCTTCTCACTCAGTAAGGACATGACACAGCAAGTCCTAGGCCATAGTAAAAATGGCACACAGAAATGCTATATGTCCACACCATTTTTAAAAATGGATGTTGGTTCTGCATCTTATGGAAGTGACACCAATGAGCTCTCTTAACAGTTCCCACTGTCACATAGGCTGAAATAACAATATGCACGGTAATTTGTGTAATTCTGGAAGTTGTCATTGTTTACACATATCTTGGTGGTAATAATAAAAGGTGTTATTTTTATGTGTGTGTGAAAGAGAGTGAGTTATGGCCGCTGTAAAATGAAATTTAAATCAAGAATGTATGGCCCCAGTTCTCTCTAGCCATAACACTACTCGCTGCCTAACTTGCCTTTTGTTTCTTGGCTTCTGAAGTTTTAATAATACTAGGAATAGGTCTTATGTTTAGCTTTTCAGAAAAGGTGTTTTATGACACCCATCTATGTGTGCTTTTTCTGGAGTGCTGTTGCTAAGGAGTCCACACAATGAGGCCAAAGTTTTTCCTTCCTTGTCTCATATGTTGAAGAAGCTTGTGCTGATATTGCCTCCTCCCGAAAGCATTTCGAGAACCTGCAGTGTGATAAGTGTTGCTCTGCAATAAAATTATTCTTGCAGTGGAGTTATCATGTGCTCTTTAATTTCTGTTTCGATTTTGCAAACAATAGCCCTGCAGAGATGTGTTGCCCTTTGTATAAAGTGCTGTTTATTTAGTGACTTCATAGTGTGTCTTGCAGCCTAATGGAAGTTTTTCTTTTTAATCGGTCTGTTGACCAGTCTTATTAGACTCATTGTTCATTAGAATATAGATGCCAGTGTCCACAGTTCTGAGATTTGCAGCAGCTTTCTGGGTGTTTGCTTAAGGCATTCTTGTGTGTTGACGAAGGCCCATTTGAGAACATGCGTGTGTGCATATTGCTGTCCCAGCTTGTGCCAAACTTCCTCCTCCTTGGTACTCAATTTACTTCACTTGAAACTTAGATCTTGCTTGTTAGTAAGATGAGAGCTTTGGTTAAGATTCCACCCTGGATTTTATAAAGAATTTTGTGCCTTGCCTGCAATGTGAAATGGGCCCTCCTCGGCCTGGAAGGGAGTGATGCACAGGTGTCCTGCAGACATCATCCTCCATCTCTTTTTCTAGTCTTTTTAAAAATGTGCCAAGAGCAGTTGTACAATGATCTATATACATTTTGCAGATTGGTTGGTTCATGTTTATCTTACACATTTCCGAAACTCAAGTTATTATGTTTTTATGGTTTTTGTATTGATTTTATAATGCTGTTTTAAATGTTTCAATTGTATATTGTGGATTGTTATGGCATCAACTTGCTACCAATTTGTAAGCTGTCTTGAGTCACCTTCAGGCTTGAGAAAGGTGGGATAGAAATATTGTAAAAAATAAACGAACAAATAAATAAGTGAGGAAAAGGAGCTAGACAGAATACTTTAGCCCATAGTACTTCCTTAGACCATTGGTAACCTTACCCAGGCATGCTTCTAGTTTCTGCAGTCTTTCCTATATGTTAGCCAGCATTTCTTTGCAAGCATGAGAGGTAGACACCTAATGAATGCTCGGGTCTTCAGGAAACACTGCAATAGCATGTCTTGATCTCCTCTAGAATTATAGCAAATGCTTAACATGCCCATGCATTGCTGTTTTTTAGTACAAAGTAGGATTTTATTGAACTGGAAGTCCATAGGTTTGATTAGCGTTTTCTTTCCTGCAGTTTGATGAAGGCCGTAACAACTTTGATGGGGAGATAACGAAGGAGAACCTGCTGAACTTCATCAAATCAAACCAGTTGCCCTTGGTGATTGAATTTACTGAACAGGTACGGAAGTGACTTGCCAAACAAAATTGTGTGATCAGGGTGGTAGAATTGGGTTGGCGAAAGATGAGTGCACAGAAGCATAGAGTATAAGGTTCCTTACAGGGCTTTTCCAGTAATGCATCTGTTTTGTTTTGTTTTTGTCCAGACTGCACCCAAAATCTTTGGAGGAGAGATCAAAACCCACATCCTTCTGTTCCTGCCCAAGAGTGATACAGACTACCAAGTAAAACTGGATAACTTCAAAAAAGCTGCGGAGAGCTTCAAAGCAAAGGTGAGGAGCAAAAAGTGACTGCACAATTTCTTTTTCTCGTGCCTATCGCCTGGACAAATGTGGAACAAGTGCACACAATTGTCCCTGCCACATTTTATGTTATTATTTTAGTATTTAGTATAGACAGCTGAGACTTGCAGAACAAGGTTGCCATGTGGAGTACTGTGACTCAGTGATCTACTTAGGCAGCTGTGCTCCTTTCCCAGGAAACTGTTTTGCTGTCTCCCTCCTGGCCCTGCCCAAGTGTCAGAACTTTTTGTCCACTGAATTCCTTGTTGTTTTTTTTACAAGTTTCACAAATGTTGCCTTCTAAATGTTACTTGTACTTGTACAAAGATTGGGTCTACTCTGATCTGGCGTTTACTAATCTTCTTGTAAATAGTATATATCTATTTGAGGACTGGAGTAGCCTTTTAGAGAAAGAACATTGACACTGTCCTATATATTTTTCTTTAATGGCTTTCTTTTGTCCGTGTCCCCCCCCCCCTTTCCCCCAGATTTTGTTCATCTATATAGACAGTGACCACACTGATAACCAGAGGATCTTGGAGTTCTTTGGCCTGAAGAAAGAGGAGTGCCCTGCCATACGTCTCATTACTCTAGAGGAAGAAATGACTAAGTACAAGCCCGAGTCAGATGAACTGACTCCAGAAAACATCAGGGATTTCTGCAACAAGTTCCTGGAGGGCAAAGTTAAGGTAATGGGCTTTTAAAATGTGGTTTTAGAGGTTTTACAAGCCTGTGAGGTGATTCGAGCACTGAATATGGCATGAAACCTAAGTATTGTTACGTGGCGTGAATCCTTTCAAGATAGCTTTGCAGCACGTCCAACAGCATAGTATTTAGAGCTTCATGCTGAGAGACCCAAAGGGCAAAGTCAGTGGGGCACAGTGCCAGTATGTAAATAGCTTTAATGTGCTGATAAAGTGAGCTCGAATCAGAGAGCTCTTCATAGAACTGAGAAGGTGTTTCCAGTCCAAGAGCTGCATTTATCCTATTGGTATGCAGAAGAGGCAACATGGCCTCGGCCTCACGTTGCACGAGCACTTGGAGCCCTCCATCTTAGTGTGGAGAGGGCAACAGCAGCTGTGCAGAGATGGATATTACTTTCATCAATTGTCACATCTACAGCCATTTTCTCAACTCTGCCTTGCTCTTGCTCTCTTCTCTTCATCACTACCTTTCTTCTTGCAGAAAGTGCCACCCTTCTTTTGAGAAATGGAATGTATTTTCTTCAATTGACAGTAAACATAGGACTGAGAAATTGTAAGCTTAGTTCGCATATGGAACAAATCCCCAAGGGAAATAACTTGAACAAGTTTTCTGAGGAACAATGTTGTCAATTCTGGCATCTTCTAATATTTTAGGCTACAGTTCCCATCAGTCCCAGCTACCATGGCCATTGACTAGGAATATTGGTTGAAGTAGCTGAGGTCTTCTGAGGGACCCACAGTGATGAAGAGTTGCCTATGCCAGAGCTGGAAAAAGTGTTTTCCACAGCCTTTCGTGATTAAACCGAACCTTTAAGATAAAAATAGATGGAGTGCAGCCCTTCAGATACTTTTGGATTACACCATAGCCAATAATAGTAAGAGTTACAATCAGACATCTGTATAATTGTACTTTGCCCACCACTGATTGAAAGGGCCCCTTCTAATCTTAAAAAGCGCAGTGAGGAACCTCCTTTGCTCCCTTCTATAGAAAGTCTTGGAAGTGGTCTTGTACTTGCCTCAGTTTCTTTTTCGTACATTTTGTGCATTCCTTCAGTTTTGCTTCCTGGACTGTAGCGGTTTTTGTATGCATAGGCCTCCTCCTCTTTGTAAAATTCAGCTTGCAACCTTCAGGTAATGGCCTGAACATGAGTGGTTCAGGATTGACCTTGAGAGAGGAAGTCTATATTAATCTCCCTTTTTATAGCCCACAGTTTGTCAGTTGTTTGAGGCTGTCTTGGAACAGTGGGGTGGGGGTTTCCTGTTGGCACATTCCAGACTGTAGCGCTCATTCTGCTTCTCTGGCCTGTCTGTTTCAGCCCCATCTGATGAGCCAAGAGATTTCTGATGACTGGGATAAACAACCGGTCAGAGTTCTGGTTGGGAAGAACTTTGAGGATGTGGCTTTTGATGAGACTAAAAATGTCTTTGTCGAATTCTGTAAGTATTTCCGTGACAGTGGGAGTCTTGAAATGAACTTTTCTCCAACTTTGCCAGGAAATGGAATATAGGATTGGCTCTTGTTAAACAGATATTGAATTGACCTGTCACCTTTTGACCTGCAGATGCTCCCTGGTGTGGCCACTGCAAACAACTGGCTCCCATTTGGGATAAACTTGGAGAGACTTACAAGGACCATGAAAATATTATCATAGCCAAGATGGATTCTACAGCCAATGAGGTTGAGGCAGTGAAGGTCCACAGCTTCCCTACTCTCAAGTTTTTCCCTGCTGGTCCTGGCAGAACGGTGAGTGGGCAAAAGATTTCTTGCAACATTTCTGTTGGACACGAAGGTTTTAGAATATGAGGGGTGAGGAAAATGCTGCCTCCTACACATTCTTGGCAGGAGGGGTTGAGTTCTAGGGAGCGGGGATGTGATGGTTTCATAGAAAGTTTCATAGGAGCCCCTGGTGGAGCAATGGGATAAACCCTTGTGCTGGCAGGACACAAGGGAGGTTCGAATCCAGGGATTCTTAAACATCTAAGAATCAAAGAAACACAAAAGAAAATAATTTCAAAATGGTTTAGGACCTCCTCTCAATTAGCTCACATTATGAAAAACACTTCTAACAAATGCTGGCATAAATGCGGGGAGACTGGTACCTTTTCACACATGTGGTGGGACTGCTCTGAAATCCAATAATATTATAATACTGTTAGAGAAGTAATAGAGGAAATAATAGGGCAAAAACTACATTGGAATAAAGCTCGATTTCTGTCCCTCACCATAGAGGTAGAGGAAGGAAACAACGAATAGTCAGATATATTGAAATTTATGATAGCCGCTATATATGCCACAATCGTCAGAGGTTGGAAAGATAAAGCAAGGTGGGACCTGAAAACCTGGTGGTCATATCTCTCTGAATATTTAATTAATGATTTCATTTATGAAAAGAAAAATAAATATTTGAATATTCAGTCAAGACAAGATTGGTTTAGGAAATGGTCTTGTTTAATCGACAAAACAGAAGGAAAAGATAGGTACAGAACTTTAAATCAGGCCTTCCAGACAATTTAATCAATGTATTGATTCAAGTAACCCAGATGGGGGTGGGAGGGAGGTGGGTAGAGAGTGGTAAGGGTGGGTGGGGTGGGGGTTTAAAGGGGTAATTAATCAAAATATATGGTAAAGAGAAGCACAATTGGAACCTGTGTCCTAGCCATGAAAATTGTAATCAGTTTTCGATATTATCTTTTAGATGGCTGAGGTTCGTATTGTATAGTTTTGTTATCTGTATGGAGAAATTAATAAAAATTTCAACAAAAAAAAAAAAAGAATCCAGGGAGAGCGCAGATGAGCTCCCTCTGTCAACTCCAGCTCCCCATACGGGGACATGAGAGAAACCTCCCACAAGGATGGTAAAACATCTAGGCATCCCCTGGGCAGCATCTTTACAGACAGCCAATTCTGTCATACCAGAAGCGACTTGCAGTTTCCTCAAGTCGCTCCTGGTGTGAAAAAAAAGGGAGTTAGAGTAAGGTAGATTGCTTAGAGAATGGCATTCATGTTTGAGCTGTTCTTTCCTTGCAGCAATCACATGTGTCTAGTGACTGGCTGCTCTTCAACTCATATGGGCATGGTGAATTTTCCAATCCCTTTTGCTTGGTTGTTCAGAAAGTGAATTCTTCAACTGCTAAGATTCTGCACTGCCTTTTAAGTGCTAATTCATTTGCTACTTTGCCTTTGTAGGTTGTAGATTACAATGGTGAGAGGACACTGGAGGGCTTCAAGAAATTCCTGGAAAGTGGTGGAAAAGACGGTGGCGTAGATGAAGATGTGAGTATCTGAAATCAGGGCCATGGACTCCTTTGGGGCTTTGCTACGTGTGCCGTTCCAGGGTAGGGTTTGGATGTGTTCCCAGAGGAAGGGGAAATTCTGCCTGTCGAATCTACTTATGGCTCCTTGTGACAGCCGAGAATGCTGCTTCCATAGCAACTTGTACACAAAGCACAGCCGGGAATATCCAGATTGTGATGGTGATGGTATTCCTAAATTGCTGCCATTCCATGTGAACTAGCCGGGCCACATGAACTGCAGTAGCCGGCACAAACTGCCATCGCCTGTCAAAGTGCCATAATTCCAAGATAATCACAAATGTTCAAGAAACGCTGTTTACATTTCTCTCAGACTTGACCCAACTATCTGTAGCTCTCATGGGATGAACCCTCACTGGGCTGGATCAGTCCCCAGCACTGGATACCAGGTTTGCATGTCCTCCTAAGTCAAACAGTTTTCTGTCAGCATGTGCTGCAATTCTTGGCGTGTTCTCTTGCTGTTAGTCATTGCCATTGGTAATGCCATGAGCTCTGTGCAGTGTTGTTGGTTTTATTTCACAGTCCAACAGGAACGGTAGGTGAGCCTGAATACACATGCCAACATCCTAGCTAGGATCTCTGTGTCTTCAGGGCTGTAGTTTTATCAGTTATGTCAGTCAGAATAAAGAATTGATTACGTTACCTTACCTTATCTGTGCATTGCTGAGAACTGCAATGGCTTCTGCATCGTGAGACTAAGCACTCCCAGAATAGCCTAGTGACCATATTGACCGGGAGATTCTGGGAAGAGTAGTAAAAAAAAAGTAGCTTCTCAGGGTTCTTCTAACTTGAACGTGATCTTGGATGAAAATCAGTGCATGTCACTTCTAAACCTGCAATTATTGTTGGGACCATCTGATTTTTACAGTGAATTAATTGATCTGTTTCTGGTTGCCCAAAAAAAGCTTACCTGTCCGATTGTATCTTCCCCTATGAACCATCTCAGAGATTAAGACCATCTGGGGAGACCCTGCTCCCAGTCCCGCCTCATTTGGGAATGAGAGACAGGGCCTTCTCAGTGGTGGCCTCTCGGCTGTGAAACTCCCTCTCCAGCTATATTAGATAAGCTCCTTCCTTCCTTGACCTTCAAAAAAAGATGAAAATGTGGCTTTGGGATCAAGCCTTTGGAGAACAATATAATGCAATAGATGGATTTGGAATTACGTGCAATGAGTACCCGAATGGGCTGGACAATTGTAAAGTTTTAAATATTTTAATTTATTTAACTTTGATATTAATTTTAATGTAAATGTTTATTTTAATTGTATATTGTTTTTTAATGCACTGAATTGTTGCGTATGTTGTAAGCCGCCTTGAGTCTCCTTCAGGGTCGAGAAAGGCGGGATATAAATATAATAAATAAATAGTCCAGAAACTCCCTATTTTTAACCTTCTTATTGTCTCTGCACTGGCTTTTATGATTCAAGAGTAAATTTGCTTTGTTGCCCAAAGTATTTTTATCCAGGTTTACTGTTTGTATTGTTTGTCTTTAAGCATCGAATAGCATACTAACACGTAACTGAGATGTAGCAGAGTGGTGTTGGCTGGCTTAGTTTTGCTTCAGACCGTTTTATTTTATTTAGCCCTATAAAACTTAGAGATTCTATTTCGGTTTGTCAGACATGAAGACATGCACACATTCACTTATATAGCCAGATGTATACAACTGGACTCATGTGTTCATGTATTAGCTTGAAGTTAGTAGATCTATACCTTCATGCATGGCTGAAGTTTTCCTGACACTGAAGAGGTGGTTGACAGTCATTGAATGTTTAATCAAAAGGATCATACGTGGTTTGTTTTAAGTGGTTCTAAGTCTTCTCATACATGCATGTCCTTTGTGTGTGTGTACATATAGGAATGTTAGCCAATTCTACAGCCCCTTGCTAAATAATATAAAGTACATTTAAACCAAAATATGCTGGTATTTTGTGCAGCAAAAAATAATAAATATTCAATATTATAAACAGCTAGTTATATCTGCAGTTCAGAGTACTGCCTTGCTGTCATTCCAAAATTAATCTCCATATGCTTTGCTTGTATTTATCACCTTGTGGATGGACTGGTGTGGTTTTCATGGAAAGCTTCCTTTGGAATGAACGTGAATGTGGCTTGTTGTGCACTTTTATAAACAGAGAGCTGCAGTAACCATGAGTGATAGTGTTACATAGGATACTTAATGCTATAGGATCAAGGTGTTGGAACAGTTACATCAATTTAGGCACTTTCCTCAATTTTGCACCTGACTAGTTTCATGTTTGTAGACATTTATGGTTTGATATGTCTTTAGAGACCACTGGTAACGCTTTCAGTCATTGGAGTTTGATGCTATCCCTACTTAGACACTAACTCTTTGTGATCCAGCTTTGGGGGGTTTTATGTAGGGAAAATGGGAAGCCAACTAGCCTACATCTTAATTTTCGGCTGAAAATTTCCTCTTGCCTGGTTTGTCAGAATGCTTGAAGACTAAGTAATTAACTGTTTACATAGCTATTTTTTGTCCAGAGCATTTATTTTATAAAGCACACATTCTTTCTTGGCCAACATGTGTTGAAACCAAGGCTCAGTCTCAGAAAGTAACTTCAAATTTGAACTTCAGGTAGATATGTTAGTTACCATGCCAGTAAAGCTAATAGCAGAACAAAGAAGCTGCCTGTTTGACTTTGAACTACAACTGACTTTTTTTTCATCTAAGCAGGATCTGGAAGATCTAGAGGATATGGAAGAGCCAGATGCTGAAGGGGAGGAGGAGGAGGATGCTACACTTAAAAAAGATGAACTGTAAAGTTGAGTCCAATCTGCATATCCCCCAGACACTACACTGTGGCTGCCTGCTCATGCAGTCAATCAAATTCAGAAATAAATTCAATCCAGAAGACTGCTGCTGGCTGAAGAATACAGGGAATGGTCAAAAGTAACCTTTCATCCTAACTTCTCTGTCAATTTGATTGTTCTAGTCTTATTTTTTGTTATTTTGGAAATGGGACTGGCCAGGTAGCCTACCCTACAGGGGACTTTTATTTCTTCATATATACACTGTGATGTACATTTTCTTTTCCTGCAGTGTTCTGTGATCTGGGTAAAAGCAGGTTGACATGGCAATGTGTCTTGTTGCCTAATCTGGGAGCTTTTCTAATAATGCCTCCTTCAAGCTTTAGTCACACTTGCTAAAATGTCATGAGCTGCTGTTGGCCCAGCAGGGTCTTGGTTATTCTGTCTCAGCTGTTCTCTGTTCCCGTTTGAGGGGCCACTCCAACATCAAAGCCAGTTCTAGGTTGACCACCATAGTGCCCAGAGAAAGGAAAAGACATGAGCGGGGTGGGATAAGTCCTCTTAATTCACTGCATAATCTTGCTTCCCCTTTATGACTGAACAAAGTATTTCTATTCCAAAGATCAGGAGGGGTAGGGAGACTTGCTATGAGGAAGAAGGACTCAGTTGCTCCCTCTCCCAAGGCAAACGTTTGATTCATGCCACTACCCTGCCCCCTGAACAAACATAAGATTTGCTCATAACATATTGCTTTGTGAATGGGTTTCCCAGGTATTTACAGAGCTGTTTGGAAAATGGCGTGCCAGAATGCAACAAAAGGACACTCAGTAACTAAAATTCTTGTTTTTGTGGGGGGTACTTGAGAGCCAAGGAGTGCTATGGGGAGGGAAATGTGCGTTTCAGCAGAATTGGGATTAGTTTTGGGCATCCATGATGCAAAAGGAAATGGAACTCATTGGCCAAATAAAAGTTGATTTTAATACTAATCTGTTTTTGACTGTTTTATTTGGATTCTTTTAAAAGAGAGCTTTTTAAGAGGCTTGTCCTTGAGCCATTGGCTACTTGAGGATGGTACCAGTCCCCAGTAGTCTTTGAGAAAAAAAATATTGTCCCCCACGTCAGATATCTTGGGAAAAAAAAACACTGCTTTAAGAGGGTACCTGACACAAACCTGGAAGGCTGCACATAACATTAGAATTTTCTTTGGCACAACCTGAGTACAATGTCTTAAAAATAAAGAATCTTAATTCATCTTAGTCTATGAATGTGTGGGTTTTCATCTAATGTCACACTGTGATGAGCAGCTAGTGGAATGGGGTTGTTCCCCTGACCTTTAAGTGTCCCACACCTTCCAGAAAACAAGCTTGAATTTGAGAATCTTACAGCTTAAATCCTTTGGTTTACATGTTGTGAATATAGAATGTGAATGTGACAGTCAATCCAATATCAGTTGCTTGCATTATACTGGCAAATATATGTATTGTGCGATTTTAAATAATTGGTTTTAAAGGTTTTATGTTTTAATGCTCATATTTTTATTCTGTGTGTTTTTGGCATCTAATGATGCCTAGATATGTAAGCCGCCTTGAGTCCCCTACGAAGTTGAGAAGGGCGGGGTATAAATACAATAAATAAATAAATATAAATAAATGTAGACAGATAACATCTGCAAGATATTGCAAGATGGGACAATAAGTAATGCAGGATGCATGCAGGTTACAGAAATCAGACTGAGCTTTTAAAGATATTGCCCATCCATAGTACTGTAAATATCCCTAGGGGGGACAACAGCTGCAGTTCTCTTGAATGCAATACAAAGTATGTGTGGAAGGAACGCTATACAAAACATGCAGAATAATATAAATACATTTTCCAGTAAAGTACTGTTATGAGGGAATCATTAAACTTTACCCCCTCCATCCCATCTGCAAAGTGCTGCAATGTGGGTTTAAGCATCTATATTTTTTATGTTTGTTGCAGGATGTAGAGGATTCTATTATTTCTGAGCCCAAAATACAAAAAATAATACCTGAGTTTCTCTTTCTTTCCAATTACTCTTGTATATTTTCTCCTGATCTATAAGTTTCTGTTAACAAAAGGTAAAACTGCTTTGAGTGGAAGGACAGAAAAGCAGCACATAAACATATTAACATACAGAAAAAATAGGTTAGTCTGCTCTGCAAGTTCTCTGTTTACATGGAATAGTAATAGAGAAGCATTTGAATTCCCCACAAATTATAGAAGCAGTAAACTGGGCAAATGATGTGTATTGTTTTACTCAGGCAGTTTAGAGCAGGTAACATTTTTGGGGGAGGGGGAGAAAAACCGTTGTCTCCAAGGTATAGGGTTGTCTTAGGTGGGTACTGTCTATCCCTTTAGATGTGGACTGCCACTCTCAGTACTTTTAGCCTGTAAAGGCACTGCTTGGGATTTGGAGATAAACATCTGGAGCATAATAACTCTTATCCTGGTGTAGATCAGAATTTTAAACCACATCTGACAATATCTTCCAGGAAAGCTTCAGAAGTAAAGAACTCTTCTATCTAGATATAGCTTCATGTAACTGATGGATTATTCCTGGAAGAAGCTTCTAATTTTTAAAAGGGCAAGGGTGAGCTGTATGGCATGTTGGGCCCAGGATATTTAGGAATTTCTACCTCATGGCCAACACATTGACTAGCGTGCTGCCTAAAAAGGCTCCAGAGTGCTGACGTAATGGCGCGTCCGAACAGTGAGTCTCCTGTAAATTGAGCTGCGGCTCTGCATCATCTGAACTCCAGAACCTATGTATGTGGAAGCCAAGCAATTTGGCATGATTCATCAGGTGTTACATAATTAGGCTTCTATACGTCAAGGGGAGTTATGCTGGACTCTTGATGTCCATCCCCCGCAAATCTGATGAAATTTTAGTCAGCAGTCTCTCTGGCATTTGAGATTTTGTTAGACCATTTTAAGCAGATCTTTGGCTCTTAATCTGCTCTGAATTTACTCATATATATATATATTAAAGATAGCAACTTCAAAGAGGCTAAATCCTATTCCAAATGGGTTTATTCCGCGTCCGTTAGCAGTTGTGGCATATGACAGAGTGTCAAGTACACTAAACTAGAACACTTTTAGGATTGAATCTGAGCTTGGTTCAGTCAGACTTTGAAATGAAATGCTGTCAACACCCTAAGCTCCTCTTAAGAAGTGTGAGTAAAAAGGTAACTGAACAAAATATATGCAGCCTTACTAATAAGGTACCGAGTCTAAATTATGAGGCAAGTGTAGTAGCTGCCAAGTCTGAACAGGATGGCCATCTCAAATGGAAGTTGTGCTAATTCCAAAAGGTGTGCTGTGATTGTTCAATGTTCCTTCCAACCAGCAAATCTCCCCCTCAAAGTCCGAAATCAACCAAAAATGGCAACTGATGTGACTGGATGCTTGGGTATGGACAGTAAGAACTACTTATCCCACTTTTACATCATGCAGAACTTCAATTCCCAGTATAGCGTGGCTTGTGGGACTTGCAATTCTACAACTAGAGGTCTCATCACTTCTTTAGGAATTCATACTGCTTGGGGGTGCAATGATTGATATGGGATGCCAAAATGCAAAGGAAATCATGTTACTGGGTTGCTGTGAGTTTTCTGGGCTGTATAACCATGTTCCAGAAGCATTCTCTCCTGACGTTTCACCCATATCTATGGCAGGCATCCTCAGAGGTTGTGAGGTCTGTTGGAAACTAGACAAGTGAGGATTATATATCTGGAATGTTCAGGGTGGGAGAAAGAACTCCTGTCTACTTGAGGCAAGTGTGAATGTTGCAACTGGCCACTTTGGTTAACATTTGATGACGTTGCAGCTCCAAAGCCTGGCTGGAGCCATGTTAGTTCATAATGTTTTTCTTGTTAGGCAATACTGTTGTTAAAGTGAATATAAATGCTAAATTCTCCAGAACTCTTACAGGTAATACTGAGGCTCCTTCTACACTGCCACATAAAATCCAGATTATCTGATCTGAACTGGAATGTATGGCAGTGTAGTAGAGGCCTGAGTAGAGAGATGTGTGAAATACAAAAAGCATTGGCTTGATACAGGCAAAACTGGCTATTTAGTTGCTATCTTAACAAAGAGTAAAGGCATATTAGGTTAGAATTCAGCCTGCAATTTGTCAGTTCTAGCAAGGGAGCTTGAATGTTGAACATCATAGTGAACTTTAGAGCACATGTTATGGCAGATCTAAGAGCCTGGAAACTAAGCAAGGTCAGTCATGGTTAGCACTTGAATGGGAGACTGTCAGTGAATACAAGGTACTGTAGGCTATATTTCAGAGCCAGGAATTAGCAAAACCACTTCTGAACATTCTTGAAATTAAAAGGATCTCCATTAATCAACAGGAAACTTAAAAGGACATTCACACATACAGTCAAGCTATATTTTAAAGTGTTGTCCTAAATGGTTATTTATTAAGATGTAATTTTAACTTGTGTTTAATTTGGTGTACTCTCTATTATTTTATGTTGTTTAATATGTTTTATTTGAGTTGTGTTATTGTATTTTTATTGCACTTTACAGCATTGAATGGTTGCCGCTATTGGTTGTGAAATGCCCTGAGTCCCCAAGGGGAAATGATGATGATGATGATTATATGTATAAGGTGCATATGAAATATAAATGAAGTTCATGTTTAGTCTGAATCCCATCTCTAAGATGGGATTTTGTACATGGAAGGATTCAATTTTTTAAAATCCAAAATGCAGAAAAATTCTGGTCCCAAACATTTTGGATAACAGATACTCAACCTGTATTAGGTAAATTTAAAACCCTAAAAGAACCAGGAAGTATCTATAGATCATCACACTTTGAGCTCAATTCAAATAAGCAGACTCTAGACAGCAATGTTGTTGTTGCTGTGTGCCTTCCAATTTGTTTCTGACTTATGCTAAGCCTAGAACAGCCTTGTTAAGTGATTTGCTAGGGCTGAGAGTATGTGACTAATCTGAGAGCACTCAAAGGGTGCTGAGCAGGGATTTGAACTTCAGTTTCCAGAGTCACTGTCTGATGCTCAAACTACTATACCATGCTGGCTCTCATACAGCAATTACCTGTCACATCTGTGAGGCCCTAACAGGTGTCCAGCTTGTGAGCCACCTGTACTGAAAATATTGTTGTAAGTAAATATGCCTTCCTGTCACATGAGGGGTGTGAGGGTGCCTCCTCCATCAGTGAATGGTAGTGGCAGCATCAGCCGAGGAAAACAAGTTGCTGCCATGTAGGAGAGGAAAAGCTCACCAGTGGTTTGTTTTCCTGCTCTGTTCTGTTCAGGCAAGATGGCCCTTGGATACTGATAGCTCTGCAAATAGTTTCTGCTCCATAGGTTACTCCGGAGAGCTTTCTATTCAACATTGCATGAATGTGCCTGAATTGTTGTTTTTTTACACTAATTTCTATTCAGAAGTAAAGTTGGGGGGGAGGGGGAGAGAAAAAAAAGGACATTTTTATTTTTTGCATAGAATCAAACACTAAAACTATTATAACTTACAAAACTAAATCTAAAACAAGCACACTACTGTGACAAAAACCTGCACTAATGTATACTTACTAAACACACAACTATAAACTATTCTATAAACTTTACACTCATTGTTGATTCTACCCCTTATTATCCTGTTCCCTTTAGATAATACCATATAACTACACTTCTGCTTTTAATAACAGTCCTCTAATTCAATGGTTCCCAATCTTTGGTCCTCCAGGAGAAAGTCACTCTACCGTCTAGGCCACGTGGAATGCATGACTCTCTGCAAAAAAGGGCTGCCTCTTTGTTCAGTTACTAAATGGGGTTTGAATGTCAATCACCTGTCTTTGTGATGAAGGTTGTTGCTGCTACTCATTTTATTGATTTATGTTAAACTATTCCTGAGACATCTGGTAGTGGGTGAAAATGAATTTATGACACATAGGACTCTTTAACAGAGTTGTGACATTCAATAGTTCTAGGGGCACAGTGATGGAAGATGTAACCTCGCTGCTGAATTTGATGCTGTAGGAGTGTAACACAGAGACAGGTTTTTTTGTTTAAAACAAGGTGCATGCTCCCCATACACTTTCTATGCAAGTGAAATTCCACTCCTGTGAGTGTAAATATACTAGTAAGCAAGGCACATGGAGAATACACACCCTGTCTTAAAGGGGGAAAGGAGATTGCTGCTGCAGCAAACTGAAGGGAGAAACAAAGTTGCAGGAAATTCAGGGGGGTTGGTTCAAGGTAAACAATACAGTCCCCAGTCCCAACAAAGTGTTCCATGCCATCTTAGGTGATGCTGCTGTTACTCTTTCAACAGCTCCCATGTGAGCCATCTGTAGCCCAAAGCTGAAGTCCTGGAGGCAGGTCACCTTACCTGTGCAACTAGGTGACACTCTCAAATTCCTGGATGTTCTGAACTTAGAAAGGACTAATGAAAGTTTTCAGGCTCTAGATCCGTGTGGATATGTATCCCTCCAAATGTTTTTAGACTATAGCTGTCGTCAACCATACTTACTTACTTAGGCGATCCCTCGTCATCTGAATATGATGGCCTTCTTGGCAGTGGGTACGTAGGTGACTGCAGAGTCCTATTCTTGACCCCCCATGTTCTCCCACAGTGAGGACATTGGTTTCCAGGTGGAAGGCAGTCCCAGTTAGGGTTGGCTTGACGTGCCTTTCCCTTGGCACATTTCTCCATTTCACCCTCCATTCGTGCCTCTTCGAATTCTGCAGCACTGCTGGTCACAGCTGACCTCCAGTTAGAGCATGCAAGGGCCAGGGCTTTCCAGTTGTCGGTGTTTATGCCACAATTTTAAAGATTAACTTTACACCCATCTTTACATCTCTTTTCCTGTCCACCAACATTCTGTTTTCTGTTCTTGAGTTGGGAGTATAGTAACTGCTTTGGGAGACACTGATCAGGCATTTGGACAACGTGGTCAGTCCAGAGGAAATGATGGTGCAGCAGCATCGTGTCAGTGCTGGTGGTCTTTGCTTCTTCCAGTATGCTGACATTTGTCTGTCTCCCTTCCTACAACCTTCATATAACTTACATAGCCAATGGTGAGGGACACCAGTTCAGCAGCAAGGAGGATGATTCCCATCTTAGATTTTAGTACTGAGATGAAAACCTAGCAATCCAGGTACGCACCAGACACACAAGAAAGACCTTGAATCACTGGACTCCCATAACAGGCCAATAACTCAGCCTAAATAAAATAAACAGACATTTCTAACTAATGAAGCCTGACCATACCAACCTGTAGACAAGCAACCCTTTTCTACAGGTTGTCACCAAGCTTAACCCATGGTTCCTTTTACATGTAAGAACCATAAAGAATTAAACTAAACAGATGATTATTACAGTACAGCACATGTACTGTACACATAATAGCCATATGTACTAGTTATACACAACAAAGATATCAAAGAATCATGGCGGGTCTTAAGCCTAATATCCTGGCAAGACTATTTTTGGACTACAGGTTTTCAGCCTTTACTGGCACAGCCAGATATCCACCATGACAAACTGTAGTCCAAAGATGTGAACAACACCAAGTTGCTATGTCCTCACTGACATCTCATTCTTGTATCTAATAGGTTATCAAAAAGAAAAAGAGTACACAGTTCTATGTTCCAGTATGTGTCAGCAGGGGATGTTTTCATCTGGCAAGGTTCAGAACACCACAAAACAGGGAGCTGTGGGGAGTCTCATTACTGTTCCAGTCCCCAAAATCCCAGCGGTTTATCCTTCAGTGCCAGCTGAATTGGCCAATGGAATCAGATGACTTGCTATCGTTCCCTTTTACAGTAGCAGAAGCTTTGCTTTTTTGTTTTTTAAGAAGAGCAGTTCTCATATAGTTGTTTGGCTAGTGATGTTTTCTTAGTGTGTGTGTGTGTGGGGGGGGGGGACCATGAGGATGCATGGGGAAGATATATAATGTAAATGGTAACTTCATGAGAGGGAAGTGTTTGCCTTGGCACTTTTCCTAATGTGTGGTGTGTCAGTGAAGCCTTTTAACACTGTGATAAGAAAGCAGAACTGCATCAATCTTGTAGGGAATGGGAATGTGCTATTTATTTTCCTGGCTTGTATAGTTACACAGGGCTCTGGCTTCTTCTTTGAGTTTGCAGCAGAACTCTGTGGTTTTCCAGTCACTTGCGATGGTTGGGTAATAGCAGCTTCCCAATACTTCCAGCTTGCTTTATGACCCTCAACTTGGATCTGATAACTTAAAACAGAAACCACAAAGGACTTTCTTGTCACCATGTGCTTATTCTTGTCTGGGACTTACAGGATTGGTAATGCATTTTCTCTGACTAGGCAGTCTCTCTCTCTCTGGGAAGTCTGGTGGAAATGAGTCTGAGAATAGCGCTAATAAAGAACCACTCAGACTAGGGTTATCAGAGACAAAACCGAAGTGAACTTCATTTAACTTTTTAACATTTGTGTAAAATAGATAATTTCTGAAGGTTTTGCTTGTCACACAACCAGGTAACAAGTGACAGTGATTGGCATTTTCCCTTCTACACAACCAATAAAAGTAGAGTTCACTTCCAGCTTTCATTCTGGAATTTCTAACTGTTCAGTCCAGAAGAATTGCCACCAACTGCTTGGATTCCTAAAGCAGTGAGTGGAGTTTGAGTAAAACTTTCCTGAGAGCTCTAACAGAATTAGAGGCAGTTGTTTCACTGGCATGAAGAGTGTTTTCCCTCCACCTTTTCCCAGCAAGTTAGAGTGCCAGAATTTAAGCAAACCAATGTTTCCTTATGAAAGCAGCATATTGATATTAGTTACTGAACTCTGCTTCTGGGCAGAACTTTTGGAGCCACTAACATAGTTATTTAATGGCCATTTCTCTCTTCCAGGATAATCCTATCTACAATTATTACTGGAAAAGCGTATGGCAGATGCCAACAGATTCCTGCAATGGATGAAAACAGTGGGTTATACAAACAGTGCCTTGCAAAATCTTAGGCTGCTGGGATCGGTACATGCAGACCATAGAGCAAGCTTGACCTGTTGACTATTGCACATCGACAGGTGGGATGTAAGCTGAGACGCCAACTTGTGCTCGAAAAGGAGAGACTGGAGGGCAGGGCAGCTCAATTACAAAATCTCATGGCAAATAGCATGAGCTGCCTAACCTCAAAATAGACACAAGGGAGCTATATAACACAAGACGCTGCTGAAAGTCGCCAGTCCTCTGCAGGAGATCACTACATGAGTACAGTGTTGTCCAAAGGAAGTCCCGAGAAGAACTCCCAACTCACTCTTGGTTGCAAACATTTTGAGGAGAGGATTGTTTGACCCTCAATCCACTGTTATATTTGGGCACATCAGAGTTGTGCGTAGACGTCTGGACTGCTGGATGCCTGTTTTCATTCCTCAAGACAGTTCCTTTTCCTCCTTGTCTCACTTGTCTCTTCGTCTTCCATCTCGCACTTCCACAATGAAGTATTACTATCCAAACTCACGTCCCCGGTATCAACGATATACAAGAGGCCTAAAGACTGTGCGTTTCGCCAATGATGTTCTCTTCCAGGACCACATTCGTCAGGGCGACCTGGAGCAGGTGGGGCGTTTCATTCGGGCTAGGAAGGTCACACTGGACACCATCTATCCCTCTGGTAGGTAAGACATGGGTAGAGACCTACCTGCAGTGAGCGTTGTTGGATGGAACTAAGTAGCAGCTCAGCTCCCTCAGGCCTGGGGCACACCATGGGTTGCAAAGCATGGTAAATAGGCTTCCTTTCTTTCTGAAGTTAGGAAGTGAGTTTCATCTCAGTTATGACTAGGTCAGTTATACCAGTATAGCAAACCAGGTTATTTTGGAAAATGTATTGAAATAGTTGCTGGGATCATAACAATGTATAATGTTCTGTCCAGCTGATTGTTAATTCACAAAGCATAGTTTCTGTGTATGAGTATGAAGACATTTTGAGGTGGGGTTGTCAAACAATACTATCAGGTAGCAGAATGAGCAACTGAACAGATAATAGACTGAAAACAAAGTGTTTTGGGAATTACTAATCATCTTAGAAGTCTTGTTGCCCCTTTAAGCCATTTCTTCCTATCACCATATGAAAAGTTTTACAAAAATGTAATAATCAGTCATTTCTTGCCAGCTACAAAAATGTCAAGTGTTCAAGTAGACTCTTAAGAGAGTCGATTTACTTCTTAACAGGCTACCCTGACCCTGGTTCAGTGCTGGGAGGAGGCGGGGGGAGGGGGGGACAGCATTGAAACATCTGTTGGAATAGTCCAACTGACCTTGAAACACTGTTCTTACAAACTAGTTAATTCCCCCAAAAGCTTTCCAGAACCTACCCAGCCCTAATGAATGCATATCTGTGCACATCTAAAACTTCCCAAAATCCCCCTTTCTCCTTTCCTTCTAGGCTACTAGAGCCTTTAAAATGTTCAGGGTCTTCTCTAGATTTGTAAGATGCTTATTAATGAAAAGCAAAGGCATTTTCACTTCTGAACTACTCCCCCCATCCCCCTTACTTACCATACATAATCACACAGCACAATCCCATTTCAATAAAATGGTTGTGAAGAGTTTACTCCCTGCCCCAATCCCTTCTCCCAAGGATCTCCCTGCTCCCCTCCACAACTATGGTTGAGAGTGTCTCCTTTCCTCATTAGGCATGGCGGCTCTCCATGAAGCTGTGCTTTCTGGAAACCTTGACTGTGTGAAGCTACTGGTGAAATACGGTGCTGACATCAATCAGAAAGACGAGGACGGTTGGACGCCCCTGCACATTGCTTGCAGCGATGGTCATGCTGACATTGCAAGGTCAGAGATGTCAGATTATGTTTACTTCTCTTTCCTCTCGCTCTGCTTTAGTGCCCTGCTGACAGGCACAAATAGCAGAATACACGGCCAAGGAAAATGGAGAGGGAAGAAGCAATTGCCCCAGAGTGAGTGCTAGACTGAGCGCTTGAGATGATGAAAGAGAAGTGCCTTCTGGCTCAGAACATGGGGTAGATGACTGGTTTATAGAGGGGGCTAGTCCCCTGTCACTGGCTATGACAGGTGCATTTTATCATCTTATTAAATAGACAGCACTGTTGCTCAGATATCTGATACAGTATGCCAAGAAGAAGGTGATGACAGAAACCACCTAAGTTGAAGTTAGAGCTCTTGCTGGGAAAAAAAGAATCAAAGACTCTTAAATCTACCCACACTACATTATACACTAGTGTAAAGTGGAAAACCCATATATATGAACTCGAGGGTGCATATGTTTTCAACTTATCCAGTAGCTACAATTGCAGAACTAGTAGACGGTCCAAATAATGTCAATATTTGTTTCCATGTGGTTGTGCAATGGTGTATGTGACTGTGCATAGATATTTGACAAGTAGGAGCTGTCCTTAAGTGGGACTTTGAGTCCCGGTGTGGATTTAAGACCAGTGCTTTTGTTGCAACAGCTTCAGCAGAATGACAACTTCCCCACTGGCACTTGATGTGTAAAATGTTGCCTACAGAGATGAAATAGGTCAAATCATCACCTCTCATTTCTTTGAAACTGCAGGTATCTCATCTCTCTTGGGGCCCAACGTGATGCCACCAATGACGAAGGGGAAAAGCCATCTGACCTTATTGACCCTGAATACAAGGAACTTGTAGAGCTCTTCAAAGCAGCGCGAGTGAACTAAGCTTCTACCCCTCAGCTCTTTCCCAAATGGGATTCTAGTCTCGGTGGCAAGCAGCCAAGTCTGTTGCATTCAGGATGGAGGCTAGCAACGTTGCCTGTATAAGGTTGGCAAGGGAGCGAATAAGCCGCCAAAAGAGACCAGAGTTTGGCTGCAATGTTTATGTATGAGATTGGCTACTCCAGTTTTATTGGAGAGCTATGCTTGGGATAGCCCTTTAAAAAAGAAATGTCACCTTTTATACTATGCCCCACGGTTGAGTATCTGGTGGGAGTCAGGCTTTAGCTAAAATGGATACAATAGCTGAGACATACATAGATGGTCCTATTGTGTAGGAGGTTCACAGAGATGGTCATGAGCTAAACAGGAATGGGTACCAATTTGTACAAGCATTGATCTTTCCAGTTCACAATTGACAATGACTGTGACAGAACCAGTGTTTTCTCTGCATCATTCAAGCTATTTTCCTGAAGACTTGGTACAAAGAAATCCTAAAGAAAAACAATCTCCAAATTCAAGTGGACACCTGCTGTACATATGGACTATCCTAACAACGTTGTGTATAAAGTCTTATTTTCAATGTTTGCTTGTCCTAGATTTGCTTTTCTACTGTACTTTTTTATGTGGTTCTGAACAGCTTTTTATTTTTTCAATAAAAAATTCCCAAAGCTTTGGGTCATGTATCTTCCTTCTGCTCTTATGAAAATAAGACATACTTTTCCAACTATTTTCTTTTGCTGAATCACTGTAATTGTGTTTCTCCAGAAACCCTTGGAATGCTTTTTAGTACAATCAACATCCATAAATATTTGTCATTCAGATTTGCAACCACCAAGGGTACAATATATCCAGGGCTCACAGAGTCACATCATCTACTTTTAAAACCTGGATCCCTCTATTTCCTCTGAGCCCAGCTACACTCTCCATAATACTTGGAAGGGAAATGGATTTTCCCAGCAATGATGTACACCATGCTGTGAGCTATCCCTGGTGCAATCCAAAGTATGCTGAAGTGGCTTGGTCTATTAGCTATGCGAAAGATCTGCTCAGTATGAAGAAGAAAGCTACTTTAAAAAATAGTAATTAACACAGCTATATGCATTTTAAATCTCGTTAGGGGTTATGCCACAGGAAGCACCAGAGTGCAGGTCTATCCTTCAAAATAAACAATGTTAACAGGCAAGTGAATTTTCATCCCTAACTAGATCTGCTAAAGAACAACAAAAGAATCCAAAAATTATTCTTCATCTGGTTCAAATTCACATATGGTATCTGCATTAAACCCTTTTAATTCTGTGAAATAAAGATTTAACTGAAAAGTCAAAATGCTACAAAAATATCCTGGCTGTATCAATTTTCAATGTGTCACTTGTGATATTTCTCATGGAAGGCAAAGTGGTGAAAAGGCAATGCAAGACAGAATTTCCAGAACTGTTTTTAAGGTATCAGATGTTCAACACTGGCAGTCAGATAGTTAATAATTTTGTCTACTTGCAAGTGCTGAACTCTTCCCAAACATTATACTATTAAAATATTCTTAAGTATCAAGCCTCTTACAAACACAATGTATACACAGAAGTGTAATTAATGTGTTCAGTAGAGTTTACTCCCAGGTAACTGTAAAAGATTACAGACATTATTATTCCTGGGAGGACACAACAACATCACTGTCTTAACATTCAAATATGCTTTATAATTTGGAACACTCCTCATAGCTAATTCTTGGGGTGAGTTCAATTGCATAGGAGTCTTGATGGCACAATTTTGCCAGATCACTGGAGAGAGTTTCAGCCCCCTAGCCTAGTAATTGGAGGGCCTGAGCCATGACTCCTGATAAAGGCTCACTACAGAAAGGTAACTATTGAAGACTTTGATAACAATTCTACACTTCAAAGTTCTATTTTGTGGACTTTCTCTGTGGCTTCCCATGTCGTATCCGTTTCACATATGCTAGTTTTGCAGCTACCACATGATGATGGAGCCTGTAATGGTCTTTCTTGAAAGGTACTGCGTATAGGAATGGTTTGGCAAAAAACTCAACTAGGCTCAAAGGAAACGAGATGCAGAATTCTTGGAGGAGAGTCAATGGCTATTACTCAAAAGTGCTAAAATGACTTCTCCCTATTTGTCTCATGGTGAAAACCAATAGTGAATCTCTTGTGCCATCTGGGTCAGTATGCTTTGAGTGAACTAGGGCAGCTGGATTCACCTCTTGGGTGCTACTTCAGGTTTCTGGAAGAATCAGGTAGGTGTCACTGAGGGCTGTACGGGGAACACCATTCAGGCTCAGGGCTCAATAGAGCAGTTCAGGAGAGGAAAGGCAACTGCCTGGCCTTGGGGCAGAGAAGATCTGTTTTACTCCCTTCCCCTTTCTCCAAATGCATCTACACTGTAGAGTTAATGCAACTTGACATCGCTTTAGCTCCCATGGCCCAGTGCTATAGAATCCTGGGAGCTGGAGTTTTACAAGAATTTTAGTCTTCCCTGCCAAAAGTGCTAGTGCCTTAACAAACTACAAATCCCAAGATTCCATAGTGCTGAGCAATGGCAGTTAAAGTGATGTCAAACTGTAATAAATGTAGGTCCACCAGGGGAGGGGGACAACAGCCTTGCGAACACTACTTTACCCATAATGTCTGGGAATCGCCA